ATAGGATCAGCTCAAAGTCCAGGGTCTTGTCACCTAAATCAAGTCCAGGTGTGAATGAGACTTCTGTGGTCTAGTTTCTGGAGAACACCTCCTAGAGTACAATTACTCCATATCTGAAAACCTGTGGACCAAAGAGACATGAAATCTATCATCCTCCACCCTTCCCAACAAACCCAACATTAAATGGTGGGATACACACAGTAACCTACTACACACATTCCCACTGAAGTAAGTGGAAAACTTTGAAATCCACTAATTGGAATGTTGACAGTTCCTTGATTAGGAATATCTCTCTCAAGACTTTGATTAGGAATATCTCTCTCAAGACCCGAGAATCATTCTACAAGGCTCTGGATCTCTCCTCTGTGCTCATCTCTGCCTTCGGAATCATGGTTCCTTTGCTGTGAAAGGCAGCCAATGTCTGCTGCTGAGTTTTTTTCAGCCTGCTTTCTATTTGTAGATTTGGTGGTCCAAAGTCCTCTTTTCATTCTTTACTACCTCTATTCTTTTAGATATAAGCTGGTGGTATCTCTTCTGGTATAGTTTTATTTAAAAACACTGCACTCACTCTAGCCACAAAACCCATGCCCACAAAAATATTTGAAACAATTCTCTATTTTTAGCTTCTGCTGAGGCTTCCACAAAGTTGTTTGACTGAATAGCTCTCTTAGCACCACCTTACATCCTTCTGAGATCTTAAAAACAAAGCATTTTACCCACCATTTTGGATTCAATATTATAGAATGTTTTTCTGACAGTGACCTGGATTTTCTCTTTGATTGGAAGCCACTCCTTAATTTCAGCATAGCCTGTCATCTAGAGATGCTAGGAATTCTCAAAACCTATTCCTATCTCCTTTATGTCCAACAGCCCTTTCTTCCGCTTCTCTCTCTCCTCTCACATAAACTACATTTTACTTAAGGCAACAAGAAGCCAGGCAAGTCCTTCATCAATATGCCTGAAAATATCTTTAGCTCAGCCAGTTCATTAGGTACATTTTCTTTCTATTTTCCACATCATGGCAGTGATGGTTGTTGATAGACTTTCTATTTTTATATAACAGGGATATTCTTTCCTACAGTTTTAAAAAACAGTTCCTCACTTCCATTTAAGCCTTCAGTGGCAGCTGCCTCCAAGACCATTTGGCTTTTGCTAAAAGTCTATATTCTAGGCCTTTTTAGCTTTCACCAATACTTTCCTCAGGTTCTTCCAGCTTCCTCTCACTTTCCAGTCCCCAAACTACTCCCACAGTATTAGTTATGTGTTATGGCAGCATCCTACTTCTAGGTATCAAATCTATTTTAAGCTTATGGCTAAGTAATTAATGACCTAAAACAAAGTGGATTGAAGCAACAATAAATATGTATTTTTCTCAGGGTTTCTGGCCTCAGAAATGCTAAACTAGGCAGCTTCGGTTCATGATTTTGTTTAAAATGTTGGCAAGGGCTAATGTCATCTAAAAGCTTGATCAAGAATCCACTTTCAAAGTAGCTTACTCACAAGGCTGGCAGTTGGTACTAGTTACTGGAGGAAGGCGTCATTTCATCCCATGTGAGCCTCTCCTCAGTCATTTAGGTAACTGCTTGAATATCCTCACAAGTTGGAAGCTGACGTCCCCAGAGTAAGCAACTCCTTTTGTGACTTAGCCCTGGAAGGCAGTCTGTCACTTGTGCATTTTTGATTGGTCGTACAGGTCAGTCCTACTCAAGGGCATGAAAATCAAGAGATGTGGGTCACTGAAGGTCATCTTGGAGGCTGTCTACCACCTTTTGTGACATAACCCAAGTTATATTCCTAGTTTCCAGAAGGTGTGGATTGTCTTGTGGGGAAGAGGTTACTTCATCATCTTCAAGGAAGAGAGAAAGAAATACTAGCCCCTAAATGGGGGGAGTGGGCCATTTCAGCAGGTTGAGGGTTCAGGGGAAATTGAAACTCAAGATTTTTGCGTCTTAGATTTCCTATCCTATGTCTCCATGTCACATTCCTTCCCAATAAAGGCCCCTATCTTAGGATGGCAGGCCTATTTAATTAGGAATTTAACCTTCTCTAGATCTCTGCTGTTCTTATGATTAAGTGTAGGGCATTATTCTCACCTCTTTATGCTCTTTGGTTGCCCGAGAGGAAAATCTCACTATATGCTTCTGGGTAGTCTCACTAGATTTCAGCTGGCCTCTGATGGTTAATCAAATACAGCCTTTCATTTTCCATCTCCAGTATATCAGTTCCCCCAACAATAGCCATTCACTTCCATGGTCCCTATAATTATGTTCCCCATATTTTTCAAATGCGTGATACATGACACCAAATGAGCAGTTCCTTTCCCTTAAATACCATCCCAATTCACCATGTATGAACACTGTACTGCTTCCTTGTACTGAGTCTACCTCTCATCTTGTCATCTGCTTTTTCAGTCCACTGGGTACAGATAATCACCAATTAGGTTTTCTGGTAAGTACACCTTAAGATAGAAGTTAGCATCCAGGAAGTTTATGTAAGATGGAAAATGGTATGCAGAAGTGTTCTTGCGATCAGCACCTGTGTGCAAATAGGAGAATGCAGATTTGGGAGAGAGAAGAGTTGGCTTGTAGTACAATCACAACAAGAACAAGCACACAAGAAGATGGGCCTCATTTTGCGTGAGGTGACTGCTCAGCTGAGGTTATTATTGGAGAGGGTGGATAGCATCCACAATGGCCATGTTTTCAGAGAAAGAAGATTTGATACCTATCCTTCTCAAATTCTTCCAAAAAAACTAAAAAAGGGGCAATACTTCCCAACACATTTTATGAGGCCATCACAGCCCTGATACCAAAACCTGGCAAAAATAACACACACACAAAAAAACTACAGACCAATATCTCTGATGAATACTGATGTAAAAACACTAAAAAAAATACTAGCAAATTGAACACAACAACACATAAAAAAGATAATACATCATGGGTTAAACGGGGTTCATTCAAGGGAGGCAAGGAAGGTTTGACATATGCAAATTGATCAATGTGACACACCACATTAACAAAATAAAGGATAAAAATCACATGATAATATCAATAGATGTAGATAAAGCATTTGATAAGATACAATATCGATTCATAATTAAAACACTCAATAAAATAGGTATAGAAGGAAAGTACCTCAATATAATAAAGGCCATAAATGACAAACCCTCAGCTAGTATACTTCATAGTGAAAAACTGAAAGCTTCTCTTTTAAGATCAGGAACAAGACAAGGATGTGTCCACTCTCACCACTCTTATTCAATATAGACCTGGAGGTCCTAGCCAGAGCAATCAGGCAAGAGAAAGAAATAAAAGGCATCCAAATTGAGAAGGAAGAAGTAAAAGTGTCACTTTTTGCAGATGACATGATTCTGTATATAGAAAACCCTAAAGACTCCACCAAAAATCTATTAAAAACAATTAAAAAAATACAGTAATGTTGAAGAACACAAAACAAATGTACAAACACCCTCTGCATTCCTATATACTAACAATGAAATTTTGGAAAAAGAAATGAGAGAAAAAACAAACACCAACAATTCCTTTTGCAATTGCAACAAAAGTAATAAAATACCTAGGAATAAATGTAAACAAAGGATGTGAAAGACCTATACGCTGCAAACTACATGACATTTTTAAAAGAGATTGAAGAAGACACAGGAAAATGGAAAGATATCCCATGTTCATGGATTGGAAGAATCAACATTGTTAAAATGTCCATATGACCAAAAGCAATAAACAGATTTAAAGCAATCCCCATCAAAATACCAATGGAATTTTTTTTTTTTAAAGAAATAGAACAAAAGATTACCAGATTTGTATGGGACCACAAAAAAACTCCGAATAGCTATAGCAATCCTGAGGGGATGGGGGGGGAGGGGGATGGAGAAGAATTTTGTATTTGGTTGATATAACCAAAAGAGAGACCTGCAGACCTGCATGTAGCACACTGGAATATAAACACCTCCAAAACTAATTTGGATTTGCATGGAAGGATCTGGGATTCCCAAAGTTGTGGGGTCAGGAGCTCAAATCAAGGTTAGGTAGACCTTTAAGAGGCGATGTAATGCCAGTAAATTCCAGTATACTTGAATGCTACATGCCTGCAATTGACCCAGATAGATTGAGAGATCCAAGAGTCCCTCCCATGATGAACACTCTGACAGAGGAGATTACAGGTAGGCAAGTGTAAAACATTTATGAACAGAAATTAATATTCTAGACCAGAGATTTTCAACCTTTTCATCTCATGGCACATAAACTAATTACTAAATTTCTGAAGCACATGAAAAAATATATTTCTTGCTGACCTGACCAAAAAAAATAGGTACAGCCCTAGCTTATTTGGCTCAGTGGTTACAGTGTCGGCCCCTGGACTGAAGGGTCTTGGGTTCAGTTTCATCAAGGGCACATACCACATACCTCGGTTGCAGGCTCAATTCCGCATGTGGGAGGCAACTAATTCATGTGTCTCTTTCACATAGATGTTTCTCTCTCTCTCTCTCTTTCTCTCTCTCTCCCCCTTCCACTATCTCTGAAAAGCAATGGGAAAAATATCCTCGTGGGAGGATTAAAAAAAAATTGGTATAAATTTGATTCCTTCATGCTGCATGCCTATTGTTATGGTGGCTATTGTTATTTCTTTATTGGTCAATCTAAGGGAAAAGAGGTCAGTGCCCCTGACTAAATAATTCGATATTACATGTTTTAAAAATTCTTGCACACAAGTTCTAGACTCTACATTTTAAAATGAGTGTATTCATAGAAGTCCACCATTATAGTTTATGGAGAACCTGATTCTATTCTGGAGGGAGGAGAAAATTTTATTATATACTGTATACATTTCATTTATATCTTTCTCAAAGGAAGTGAACAGAATTCCCATAACCTTTTATTAGCATGTGATCTTTTTCTTGGTATTTCTAGTAACAAACATTTACAATGAACTGTAAAATAAGTATCCGTTTCATCAAGAAAAAGAGATTTGTGGAACAATACCTTGTACAAATGTTGGATCTGGATACCTGCCACCAAATCAGTAGGTTCAGCTTCAAAATATTTGTTTTCAATTGTCTTGTAAAATTGCTGTGTTTCATCTTTTGTCCTTGGTTTTTCCCCACACCAGTGCGAGCGCTGAGAAGACAGTAAAAATGTAGTTACTGCAAAAACACTGAGAAACTGAGCAGTAGAAAATAGTCTGGCCTGTTACCCTTTATGTTGAGATGGGCAGAAAGTTTCTTGGGATTAAATTTTAGAAACAATTGGCTATGATTTGAATCCCCAAGGCATAAAAATAGACTACTCTATTTAAATCATAACTGTCCAAAGAAAAACAAAAGGAGGTCTGGCTAGCATGGCTCAGTGGTTGAGTGTCGACCTATGAACCAGGAGGTCATGGTTCGATTCCCAGTCAGGCCACATGCCTGGGTTGCAGGCTCGATCCCCAGTAGGGGACATGCAGGAGGCAGCCAATCAATGACTCTCTCATCATTGATGTTTCTATCTCTCTCTCCCTCTCTCTTCCTCTCTCTGAAATCAATAAAGACATATATTGTATATGTATAATTTATCTTTAAAAAAATTATTATAAAAAAGAAAAACAAAAGGAAATAACTCCAAAATGAGGTCACAGCAGAATGTATTATATCACTCTCATATCTTTACAAGCTGCCCATTTTGCTATGGTTCTGACTCTTAAGACATGTGGGCTAACCAAACATGGTGAGTGCCAAGATATGGAACATAACTAAACCTCTCCTTGTTAGCATCCCAAAACCCCATCCTATGTTAATTTCTTTATGCTGGAGTTTAATTCCTTATGAAATACTTGCCTGCAAAAGTAATAGATTACTAAGAATTATAAAGTTTGGGGTTGCAGGCCATGATCTACAGATTATTTATATTTATATACAGTAGAGGCTGTATAGTGTGTTTGGAAAAGGCTAGTGAATTCATATGTTTAAAGTAATTAGAATGATTCTTTCAGCTGACCTACTGATTCAGTTACAGACAGTGCAAAATTAAGTAATGATGCCTTTTGTATAAATTACAAAACAGGTCTATAAGGACTGTGGCATCTCTCAACAACAGGAGCAGTACAACTCACCAGCAAAAAAAAGTTCCATGGCTTGCGCACACCATACTCCCCCGGAAAGACTGCTTCGATGTACCAGGTCACGAGACCATACAAGACAGCATCAAATAGAAACATTCCCAGTATGTAGACAAAGACAAAGTTCTCCACTGTGACTGGTGAGAAGATGTTACTCCATTTAAGTCCAATTTCTAAGAGATAAGAGGAGACATTTAATCTAGGTGGCAACTGAGACAGAGTTATTCATATGCATCATAAAGAGTGAAAAAAAGTTAATATTTTCTAGAGATTCCTATTTTACTCAGCTACTTTCTTATACTGTTAGAATTTGGGACTGTTAGAATCTGAGCAAGCAATCATGTAATATGCCTCCTACTATGCCAAAGACAAACAAATACTCAGTAACAAGTAAAACAAAAATAAAATATACTAAAAAGTCAGGAAAATAAGTTTTAAGAAAAATAAGCAGACCTATGGGCTAAGACAGTGTCTCCTCTCCCAAGGCCACCCTCACGCTAAATGTTCACTGGTATATATAATTTTAGAAAAATGGAGTCACTGAAAAGTAGAGATGAATATGAACTAAATAACACAGACTAGTGGGATTTTGCATAGATGTTGCACGGATGGAAAAAGAAAGAAGTTACTAAAAGCAGGCCTGTGTCACTTTATCCCTACCCCTAAAGAGCAGGTGGCAACTCCAAAGGAGCAGGGAGAGACCCTAAAAGACCTGAGTAAATTTATGGAGGGAATGTGCTCATGCACTATAGGTAATGGTATAAAGTAGCGTGATTTTTTTGAAGAGCAGTTTAGCAATAACAANAAGACCTGAGTAAATTTATGGAGGGAATGTGCTCATGCACTATAGGTAATAGTATAAAGTAGCGTGATTTTTTTTGAAGAGCAGTTTAGCAATAACAATAATATTAAAACTGAATATCCTATGAGAACATGGCAAAATTTACAAGGTTAATACTCACTGTCTACTTCTGCCCTGACAAGGAATTTAGTTCCCAGTTCCATTAGAATATTTGAGCTAAGAGAGGAAGCCAGCTTCTGGGTGAGTGTCATCCGATGGTAATTTGAAGCGACACTGTTAGCTGGAAAGTAGGTGGCAAAATAAATGAAACCTCCAACAGATACAGCAAAATGTGCTGCCGGTAAGAAAGAAAGAAAGTCAATTTAAGCAATCTGAAAAAAACCTGAAATGCAAATATCTTTGTTTTATTGTAAGAGTGCACTAAAGTAAGCACATTGAGAATAGACGTTGGTCTGCCTGGCTCACCATTGCTTCCTCAGCACATTATAAACTGTCTGACACTTAGTGCTTATAAGTAAGTTTTGAATGAATAAAAGATAAAAATTAAAACATTCAAAAAGACTTTTTCTTGAATTTATCATTTTATATGCAGTAACTATGACTATTACAGCTTTTAATGGAAATTGATATGTTTATTATCACTTGACATAAAATATTGTAAATACTATCATTGGCATAACCAGAAAATACCTAGACTGTGTTTCCAGACACTGATATTCAGTCTCTGTCATGGTACTGTGGGAAAGAAGGTGCCTAACATAAACAGAGATACAAAGTTGGTGTCAAAGAGCCAGATATGGTTTAGAGTATGAAGTGCTCCAAAAATGTGACTCTGATAAAACATTACAAAGAAAATTCTGGTTAAGAGATCAGTTAACCTCATCTAGAGTTAAAATGCTGCATCCAAATAAAAATTAGATATTATGAAGTAAAACCTATTATTCCACTATTAGGAGGGAGTCTTCCATCTCCTCTNAGAGTATGAAGTGCTCCAAAAATGTGACTCTGATAAAACATTACAAAGAAAATTCTGGTTAAGAGATCAGTTAACCTCATCTAGAGTTAAAATGCTGCATCCAAATAAAAATTAGATATTATGAAGTAAAACCTATTATTCCACTATTAGGAGTGAGTCTTCCATCTCCTCTTTTTTTAAATTCTCATTTGAAGATATGTTTTTATTGATTTTTTTTTTTTTAATTCTTATTTTTTTAGAGAGAGAGGAATGGGGAGAGAGAGAAACATCGATGTGAGAAACATCAATCAATTGCCTCCTATACCAGCCCCAGCCGAGGGTTGAACACGCACCCTAGGTATGCGCCTTGACTGGGAATCAGACCCACGACCTTTTTGGCGTACTGGACAACACTCAACCAACTGAGCCACCCAGCCAGGGCCCTTCTCTTTACCTCACACCTCACTCCACATACTTCATTCACCAACTAGAGCATTTATGTTTTATGCACCAAATGAGGGTTATTTTTTACAATTAAAATTTTAAGGAGAATGAGAGAAGACAAGTTGGAGACAATATTATCAGATGCACTTGATAACATTAAAATACACAGAGCAAAAAAATAACAGAACTTCTAAGATAAATACAGAAATTTACAATCATAATGGGAAATTTAAACATATCTCTCAAGTAATTGGTATAACAAGTAGAAAAAAATAAATATGTAAAAAAGTGAACAACATGATTAACAAACTTGGCCTAATGAAAATACATCCTCAACTACCCCCAACAACCTCATAACAAAAATTTTTCAGACATATGTGGATTATTAATTTTTAAAAACTGGAGTTTAACTAGGCCATAAAATAAATTCCAAAAAAATTTCAAAGGAATTAAATTAAACTGGCAATCAATAGCTAAAAGATATCTATGAGAACCCAATATTTCGGGAAATTAACAGACACAGTTTTGAACAATTCTGATTTTAAGTAAGAAATCATAAGGAAAATTTAAAATATTTTAGTGGAACAATAACAAAAAGCTTCCTTGTCATCAAAATTTGTACCATGCAGCCAAATCAGTACTCAGATGAAAATGTCCAGCTTACAATTCATTTATTAAAAGAAATAAGCCAAGCATTCATTACCAGAAGGTAGAAAAATGGCAATAAACACAAATAAAGTTTATGGAATAAATAATAAATATAAAGGCAGAAATTAATGAAGTATAAAACATAGTTATGACGATCAATGAAGCCAAGGTTGATGCTTCAAAAAGTCTAATAATGCTAATAAATGTATTATGAAGCTGATGAAGAAAAGAAAAAAGGGAAATTATAGGACAATTTCACTCCTGAACATATAGGTAAATCTTAAACCAAATATTAGCAAACTTAATCCAGCACATAGACAAAGGAAAATATATGCTGATATTTAAATTAATTCTAAGAATACCAAATTGGTATATTTAAAAATCAACATTTATCATTCATACTGTTTACTGATAATTTCACCATCACAAAAAATGCAAATAAAAGTGCTGAATAAAATTCAACATGCTTAGCTAAGATAAAATTCTTATAACACTAAATGAAAAGAATCTCCTTCACTTACCAAAAGATATACTTAGATACTTTAAAATTTCCAGCTAACATCATACTCCAAAAAATTGTCCCGGACCTCAATTTCAAAGTGGTCATGCGGGAGAGTTTCACCCGCACCACCAAGCAGGTCTCTAGGACATGAGCTGGGTGTCCTGCAATGCAACTCAATCTAACACTACCCCGAGACAGTATCAGCTTCCACAGTTAATGGATTTAGTCCTATAAGACTGCCCCCCAAAACCAACTTTAGATGCCAGTCACAAGCCTAGGTTGTCTCCTTTGCTTCTGCTAACTTGAGATCAGAAGTTCCAAGGACCTCCTCCCCAGGTCCGATTTATTTGTTAGAGCAGCTTACAGAACTCAGAGAAACATTTTACTTAGTAAATCACCACTTTTCTATAAAAGGATGGAAGTCAGACACAGCCAGATGGAAGAGATGCACAGGGTGAGGTATGAGGAAAAGGCGTGAGGTTTCCACGCCCTCACTGAGTGCACCACTCTCCTCAGATCTCCACATGGTCACCAGCCCAGAAGCTTTCCAAACCAGTTTTTATGATAGTTTATAGAGGCTTCATTAAACAGGTCTGACTGACTAAACCATTTGCCACTGGTGACAGATACAGATTCAACCTCCAGCCCCCTCCCCTCTAATCACATGGTTGGCTCCTCTAGTAACCAGCACCCCCTATATTTAGGTGCTTCCCAAACCAAAAGACATAACAAGTGACACTTTTGTTGCTCTCATCCCTCTGGAAATTGAAATTATTTTTGGATCTATGTGCCAGAAAAGATGAGAGATTTTGTTGCTAGTAGATGAAGTAGTTCTTCCAACTGAAAGAAAGAATATTGGATAGTAACTCAAAGCCCTATGAAGAAATAAAGAACTCCCATTAGGGTAACTGCATAGGTAAATATAAAAGTCAGTATTTTGGTATTTTTGGTTTGTAACCCCTCTATTTCTCTCTATATGATTTAAAAGATAAATTCATAAAATGATTATAAACATATGTTAATAGGTATACAAATATAAAGATGTAATTTGTGAAAATACCAACATAAAAAGGGAGTGGAGATTGACAGGAACAGAGTTTTTCTATACTGCTAAAGCTAAATTGGTATTAAGTACTTTAAAATGTTACTTGTAATCTTCAAATTATCCCCTAAGAAAAAAAAATTGGAAAATATACAGAAAAGGAAATGGAGTATAAAAGGAACAAAAAGGTACATATACAGAAAATAATTAGCAAAATAACATTTGTAAGTTGTTCACCAATTACTTTAAATATAAATGGGTTATTCTTTGAATGTTTGGTAAAATTCAACTGTGAAGCCATCTGGTCCAGGACTTTCGTTTGTTGGTAGTATTTTTATTACTGCTTCAATTTGATAAGTTGTAATCTGTCTATTCAGATTCTCTGATTCTTCCTGTTTCAGGTTTGGAAGATTGTATGTTTCTATGATTTTATTCATTTCATTCAAATTGTCCAAATGGAGTGATGAGAGGTCATGTTGGTCTCTCCCTTTGAAGTTCCAACAATTTAAACAGCTATAATTCAACAAAGAAAAACCTGCTCAATGCACAAACATGTCTAAGAGATCCATGCATTGAAACATCTGAAGGCGAGTAAGTAGGAGCAAACCAGGGAGGTGGAAAGGGAGAAGAGTTGAGACAGCCCAGAAACACAGCCTGGAGATCACACCCCAGAGCTCACTAAGGGGCTCAGCCTGGAGAGAAGAGGTATCAGGTTGCCCCGGCACTCCCTTCAACTGCAAGGAGCAAAGAGATACAGAGAGCATTCCTGCAGGAGTGGTCAATATGAGTTGTGACTGAGTCCAGTGACCTGGACAGGGATGAAGCACAGAGGTGCAGACACTGTTGTCAGGCAATTGGCATTCTAGACAAAGAAACAAAGCCACAGAACTTGGCCACCTCCTGTCACCCTTTCAGAGCTAGCAGCAAGCTTCAGAAGCTGTAGCTATGAGTGTCAGGTTGTAGAGCATATTATCTGCCAACCTAAAAACTGGTACTACAGAAACATTTTTTCACTAAGTAACAGGTGTACTCTGTGACTAATCCCAGGGTTCAGTGGAGACACAGAGGGAGGCTGCAGAGGTCTGCCAGTCACCATTACTGGGAGAGCAAAGCAATGAAAGAGGTGGCCAACTTCTCCCAGCTCACCCCACCCACACACATTGCAGTTGTACGACCAGCAGCATCTGGCTGCAGGGGACAGCACTGGGATTTCATGAATTTAGAACACCGTTACCCACCACAATCCCCCATGGGGTTGGTTCCCTAAGACTCAGGCCACCTGAGCACAGATGAGATGCCCACTATCCCAGGAAACACAGGCCATTTTTCACCACCTCACAAAGATCTTAAAAGTCAGAGCAGTGCAAGAGAACAAAAAAACCTGTGATTCAGTGCCAAGTACTGGAAAACGATAGAAAGACTTATTAACCAACTAGAAAAACGCCACTCATATATAGATATCCAGACAGAGAAGGAATCCATCAAATATCACAAATAACCAATAAGGCAGCACAGAAAGAAAGCTAAAAATCTCCAGCAAATAAACTTAAAAACATGGAAATATGTGATTCAAAAGACAGAGAATTTAAGACTGCAGTTCTGAAAAAACTTGAGATGCAAAATACAGATAAGCAGTTTAATGAACTCAGAAACAAATCGAGTACTTTACCAAAGAGATTAAAACTTTAAATAAAGAACCAAGTAGAAATTCTGGAGATGAAGAACTCAGTAAAAAAGATAAGA